CACTGGGGGAATATGGGTACCACTGGGGGAATATGGGTACCACTGCTATGGCACTCAAATGGCTTCCTCTCTAAACCAATCAAAATGCAAAAAAGATGATATACCTCGTTCAGCACATTGACTTCTTTGTAAAATCTATTCATCAGCTTTAGAACTTCTTTGAAATGCTTGGCTTTCAGTGTTGTATCAGGTTTGGTACTTTCTTCAAGAATCTTTAGATAAACAGATGATAAATAGGTTATAAAGCAACATCAGTAATCATTTTTGAGCAAAGGGGAAGGGCCCAGTAACTCCAAACCCCCGACTCCCACCCCCCAATGTCTTAAAATWGCTTCAGAAAGAAAGACATWAGATGACAATGCATTAACCTCTRAATTARCCTTTAAATTCAGCATTAAATTAGYYTCCCTCTCCTCTCTTCCCAGTCTTAATTCCACTCTGCCCCACCCCTCTTGTGGTTAGGAATATATCATAGTATACGACAGACTTACAGATTTTAAGGTGGTCTGTAAATATGGGGCYAATTTCTTCAGGTTTTCTTCATATGAAGATGTCTGGAGATTAGAAATAAGAGAAAGAAGTCAAAAACGAAATATCAATCAAAAATTTCATAGTAATCTTTATTTTTGGTGCGAACCACAGCAATGCTAGTGATGYATATTCAAGTTACCTTGTAAGAAACGAGTGAGGTTAACATCACACATGCCTGACTCTGAAATAAAACAAAACTATCAATCAATCCTTTGACATTCAGACAGAGACAGACTGTTAGTATTGATGGAAGGATGGATGGATGGATGGATGGAAGGATGGATGGATGGATGGACAGACGGACAAAAGGACGGAAGGATGGATTTATTTATTTATTTATTCATTCATTCATTTATGAAAATTGCTGGTTTTCAATCATTCCCTGGGGAGTGAAAGAAACTGAGTGAAATAACAAAAGGCCATGTTGGTTGATATAACAAGARAATTCATTGAAAATACTTTTGTTAATTCAACCAAGATGGCAGGGATGAYGACGTGTGCAAACGAAGAATACAACCATGAACCACCTTATAGAGGTTTTGCGCCATAATCCAGCTTGGACTGCCTGTGGTTCAATGAYAGAACAATAAAAYCCCTTTGCTCTYGGAAATTGAAATTTTTTCTCATGTAAAACGATTGTATTGTYCCTGTTATCTAACATGGCTGMCGTCACGTGATGGTGCAAAACCTCTATAGAAAGAAGCAAGGTTCACTCTACCTTTCTAAAATTGTTTACAGCACTGTCAATGTTTTTAGCTAATTCTGGAGCCAGCTCCCAGCCAAGAAACTGAAGGTAAGATAATAATATGACAATTTATTAGAACAACAATATTTCCCATATTTGAAGACTAAAACTATCCTTTTAATTGTTTTTGTGTGTGTGTGTGTGTGTGTGTGTGTGTGTGTGTGTGTGTGTGTAGTTGTGTATGCGTGTGTGTGTGTG